GGTGGCGTGTAACAACGCGGTAAAGATACGTCGCGAGGCAACGCGACGCTGTTTCGTCCCCCTGTCGAGTTTCAGACCTGCCGGGAAAGTATATCGAGCGAGAGAACAGAGTACACGACACGACAGCCGTTTGACAGGGTATCCAAGTATCGACGTTCTTTAAAACTAACAATGCGATTATCGATAATCAGACACGTGAAACGAGTGCGCTGACGATTGGCGGGCCTCCTTAATCGTTCAATCTCGGATCTAACGAGTCGCGCGGGAAGTATAGCGAATTCCCGGTTACTTGCACTCGAGGGCTAAACCGCTGAGGGCATTGTGGTGTACAGATTTACTGCATTACTGGGCATTTTTGGGCATTAGTTTGGGCATTAGGCCTTGCCGGGGAATTATAAAGATAAAACAAAATAAGATAAAACAAGATAAATAGGATTAAGTAAGATTATAAGACAAAGTAATGCCCGCTGGACATTAGTAGGCATTGGTGTACATGATTTCGACCCGCAGTTCACCCCTCGCTTGCACTAATGCGTACCAAGTGGATTCGCTATTAAGAACATGTTCGAAAACTATTAAGCCAAGAAAGTGATCCATACACGGATGCTATACGAATTTACTGGCCAACCAGTATTGCCAAGGGGTTTATCGCACCTCAAAAAAGTGTACGCCTATTGGCGAAAATGGCAATAAATGTCAGCAGTCATTATCTTTACTTCCTACATTGTCTATGCAGACCGGTACTTGGTTCGTTTAGAACAATTCCGAATTATAAAATTGTTTGTCAAGCAAAACTCATTTTCCAATATCGCCTAAGTTATTGCCTCGTTAATACCGTTTAATTCCCTAAAGTTTGTACACCTATTGCCGAGTGCGGTGTACCTCTAGAATATTTCAGGTATTTGAATTGACTTTTCACCCTTTACCAAGTTTTAAAACAAGAAAAAGATATAAAGCAAGTTAAAGGGCGATTAAGATTAATCTGCATTGGTAGAAACTGGCATAAGAGCCAGATTTAGAAGCGTCGGTTAACTGTTAACCAGAGTTCAGTCAACTCCCTACCTTTTTCTAACTTATTATCTAAGAAGAGGCGGAGAATCAAATAACCTGCGGTTGGCAGTTAACCGACATTTGTGAGTCTGGCCCTTATACCAGTTTCCACCAATGGAGGTTAACTTTAATCTCGGTTTAACGTACTTTGTATCTTTTTCTAGTTTCAAACTTTTTCAAACTTAGAAAAAGGCGAGGGGTAAACCGCTGACCAAAGTCATACACCAATGCCTACTAATGACCAGTGGGCATTACTTTATCTTATTGTCTTATTTTATCTTTATAATTCCTCAGCAAGGCCTAGTACCCAAACGAATGCCTAATAATGCCCAATAATGCCGCAAATCTGTACACCGCAATGCCCTCGGCGATTCGCGCCTCGGAAAAAGGTAAAAAGTAACATAAACCGAGATTAAGGTTAATCTGCATTGGTAAAAACGGGCATTAGTGCGCACTCGGCGCAAGCAACCGAATTCGCTGTAAAACGCAATTGTGAGCCATTCGCGCGGCACTAGACGTTAATAATTCCGACGTGTCTAGTGTACCTGTGCGCCTCTCCGTACCGGAAAAATGACGCGAGAATGCGCGTAAAAATGCACGAAATTTGTATCCTCCCCCTTGGCGGTTCTTCCGCGAGCGGCGCATTATTTCGCAACGTCAAGTCAAGTCAGATTTCAGAAAATCGCTCGCGCAGCTCCGCGCGGAGCGGAGCGAGCTTCCGCCCACGAAATCGCTTTATGCGCGATCATATTTCTTGGCCAGCCGCGCCTAGCGTTTTCCGCCTAGAACAGCAGATACCCCCGGCGGCGGCGGTATTAAGTTATGGATGGATATAACCGTCCCGCATCCATCATAAAATCAAGTTACAGTTACGTGCTATCGCGTGACGTCTCGATATCGATTCGCACGTACGTGCCGTCCGGCGGCGTCCGGCCGACGCACGTGTACACGTATCATCCGCGGGGCGCAAGACGCCGCGTTATAAATCACGGGCTCCCCAAGTCGATAATCGAGCGTGACACGCGCGCGAGACAATGAGATTGTGCGATAACTGTAAAGGCAGGTCGATCAAGTTGGCCGTATCGCGCAACGGTATCACCACAGTACAACAAGTAGGGCCACCGTCTGCCGGCCCCTTTGATCTTTGCGGTCCCCGATCACGTGGCATTCCGCCATGCACCTGGGCAGGTCCAGCGTGCGTGTGTGTGTGTGTGTGTGTGTGTGTGTGTGTGTGTGTGTGTGTGTGTGTGTGTGTGTGTGTGTGTGTGTGTGTGTGTGTGTGTGTGTGTGTGTGTGTGTGTGTGTGTGTGTGTGTGTGTGTGTGTGTGTGTGTGTGTGTGTGTGTGTGTGTGTGTGTGTGTGTGTGTGTGTGTGTGTGTGTGTGTGTGTGTGTGTGTGTGTGTGTGTGTGTGTGTGTGTGTGTGTGTGTGTGTGTGTGTGTGTGTGTGTGTGTGTGTGTGTGTGTGTGTGTGTGTGTGTGTGTGTGTGTGTGTGTGTGTGTGTGTGTGTGTGTGTGTGTGTGTGTGTGTGTGTGTGTGTGTGTGTGTGTGTGTGTGTGTGTGTGTGTGTGTGTGTGTGTGTGTGTGTGTGTGTGTGTGTGTGTGTGTGTGTGTGTGTGTGTGTGTGTGTGTGTGTGTGTGTGTGTGTGTGTGTGTGTGTGTGTGTGTGT